GAGTTCCATATGGTTTTAATCACCAGTGTCTCATTTTCTTTTCATACAACTAAGGATTAGGTAAAATGGCACTATATTGGTATTAAAAATAAATATTTTCCTGTTTTAGAAAAACACTACCATTGACAGTAATTATTAATAGCTTTTCTACCCATTGAAATTAATTCTCTCATGTCTTATAATTTTACCAAGTTTCTGAATTCACCCAAGCTATCATCTATTTTATTTGATGGTCCAGTGATTTGGTTTGTAGTATAAGACTACACATGGGAATAGAACACCATTATGTCAAAATAAAATCCATTGTGCAAAAGTTATAACCTTTTCTACTAGCCTTTGGTATATAGCACACAAACAGCCATGAAAAAATGACTTGACAGATATTAGTTTCCTTCACATGAGACAGTTGTCTTTTCCACTTTTTAGAACTCAGTAGAGAACTTTGTGATTTTAGCTTTAAAACTTTTGATATATTCTGATGTCATAGGAGGGATTCATTTCAGAGCCTAAAGTGTGAGAATCTGGTTTTCAAAAGGCTATGGATGACAGTGGAAGCGCAAGACCCATTTGTGGAACTACATCAGAAATAGGCCTCTGGTGAATTCCCTCTCTCCACAAGTGAGGGATAGACGGAAAGTGGTTACTAAATGGATAGCATTAGAGAGTTGAATATAGAAGATCAAAGGTATAAATTTAACTCGAACAGTTAAAACTTTGTCAACAGTTCCTCCCTGTGATGCATGCTGGACCTGATCTGTTTTCCGAAAATTTTCTGTATTTTTGGTTTGTACTGTTTTGTTTAGCGTTTGTTTGTTCATATCGGGGTGTATCTCAGAGGTGTTAGGTCATTGGGGGTAACCCTCTTTAAGTTGTGTTATATGTTTTTCTTTTTTCTTTTTGGTAAATGAAAACCTGGATTGATGAACCTATAGAGATACCAAGTAGAATAAGGGATTCGGGGGGGAGGGGAGTACAGTGATGTTGGAGGGAGATGATGTCAAGGAGTTCGTGTAGAAAAGGAATATTTAGATATGGATTGTGGTAGCAAATGTACAATTTTGGATGTGATTGAACTATTGAGTGATATAACATATATTAATTCCAAATTAATAATAGTAATAAAATTTGAACAATATGATTGATCAATTTAACATAAATGGACATGCAGACAATGTTTACTCTTGTGATAAATCTCACTCTTGTATTGAAGCAGTGGTTCTCAAACTGTGGGTTGCAACCCCTTAGGAGGTCAGAAGACCCTTTCACAGGGGTCGCCTAAGACCATCCGAAAACACATTTTTCCGATAGTCTTAGGAACCAAGACATAGCTCCTCTATCCATCTCCAGGCAGGTCCTCCCACATGCAGATATGACCACATACAGGTAACCGGCATGAAGACTTACCCATGTTACACCATGCTTATTTGTCATTAGAAATATTTCACAATATATAATGACATATTGTTTTGTGATTAATCACTATGCTTTAATTATGTTCAATGTGTAACAATGAAAATATATCCTGCATATCAGATACTTACATTATGATTAATAACAGTAACAAATTACAGTTATGAAGTAGCAACGAATATGGTTGGGGGGTCGCCACAACATGAGGAACTGTATTAAAGGGTCATGGCATTAGGAATGTTGGGAACCACTGCATTAAAGTCTTCCCTCTACCAAGATTTGTATGTTCCTTTAGCAGTCCATGAAACTTTCAATATTCTTCTATGGTATCATAATTCAAATGCTCCAATTAGTCTTCAGGATTCTTTTTTTAAATCATTTTATTGAGGGCTCGTACAACTCTTCTCACAATCCGTACATCCATCCATTGTGTTAAGCACATTTGTACATTTGTTGCCATCATCATTCTCAAAACAGTTTCTTTCTACTTGAGCCCTTGCTATCACCTTCTCATATTTTCCTCTCCCTCCTCCACCCTCCCTCCCTCTTGAACCCTTGATAATTTATAAAATATTATTTTTCATGTCTTACACTGTCTGATGTCTCCCTTCACCCACTTTTCTGTTGTCTGTCCCCCAGAGAGGGAATTATATGTAGATCATTGTGATTCTTTATTCAATATTGATCTTTATTCAAGATCAGAATTCTTTTTTCAATGTCAAACTTTCACATGCGTCTATATGGCAATTGAAAATGCCATGGCCTAACAAAAGAACAAATAAATATTTCTTAGATGTATGGCCGGAAGGCTCCTTCAAGCCAAGGATAGGAAAACTTCATCTTATGTACTTTGGACATATTGTCAAGAGAGACCTGTCCCTGGAGAAAGATGTAATGCTTGGCACAGAGGAGGCACAGCAAAAAGGAATAAGTTCTTCAACAAGGTGGATTGACACAGTGCTTGCAACAATAGACTCAAACATAAGAACAATTGTGCAGATGTTGCAAGATCAGACAGTGTTTCAGTATGTTGTACATCAGGGCCATTATGAGTCAGAATAGACTACAAAGCATATAACAACTACTATATTAAAAATAATGTTTTCAGTGCTAAATTCAAGGAAGTCATAGAATATTTTCTTTCCAAATGTCATAGAAAATGCTGAGGTCCATATATAAAAATTTGTTCCAAATTCCTATTAATGTACTGTAAAGTAGATCATGCTGTACTTATATCTGGTTATTTTTCTCTGTGGTAGATTAAATACAGTATATGATTCTTAATAAGTGATGTCCTTTTATCCTTTTACCACCACCCCACTGATTATTGAGATGCTTTAGAGAAAATAGCTCATTGCCCCAGATGATTACATGCTTTAATTGAATATACATGCCTTAATTGAATAGTAGTTTTTCTTCCAATTATCATTACATTGCCATGTTGATATTTTCTCATCTCCACATGGAAATTAAAGCTGAATTTGTTTAAAATGTGTTTCTGCATTACCTTATGAATGTGATTGGTTCTGAACATTTGAGGTGTTCCACCCCATCTCCCCCACCCCCCATGATCTGATGTCTTCTTAGAAAGTAGTCTTTGCTTTGCTGATGTTTTATCTTTGGCAAAAATGAAGTCAGTGGTATCAAAATTGTGGAATAGAAATGCGGCTGTATATAGATTTTCAATACTCCTGCTTCACAGGAGTATGCGATATATTAATTTATATTTTTGAAGTTTTGGAGCAATATGAGACTCATTGAGTAAATGCACATTATTATTACCAGTGTTGTGGCTAATTTTCTTGACTGCACATTCAAGCAAATGTAATTTAATTTAGCAAATATACATTTATTGTTGACTATGTTCATATAGTCAACTACTCTGCTAAACTCTGAGAGAAAAAGAAAATGAAAAAGATATTATACCTGTCGGTAGAGAAGTTATAACCTGGAAAGGTGGGTAAGACGTGATATTAATCATAATGTCAAGTGTAAGAAAATAAGTAAAGATACATGGGAATTCAAAAGATAAAAGAACTCATATTTGGTTGTAGGACTTATGTGGGGACATTCATGGAAGAGTTGAAAGTCTATTTACGCCTGGAAGGCTTTGGAAAGGTGGAATTGGGGTTACCTTCTATGAAGGAAAAATAAATGAGCCCAAGCAGGGAATTGCAGGGAAGGGTTCGAGAAAGATAATTTGTCTGGTTTTATTGGAACATGTGGTGAGAAGGCCTGAGGCTGTGAAGGGTTGGTGAAGATAGTTTAGAATGTCAGGGGAAAGGATTTGAAATCTATTAGGTTGTCCAGTACAAAGTTTTGGACAGCTGACTTGTGTGTGGTTCAGTGTAACTTAATAGAGCATTTTGTAGAGATAAATAAAAGAAAAGAAAGATGCCACAGCGATCTCATTGGAGAGGAATTTGGCATATTGAAGAAGAGGTGCAGGTCAACAATGAGTCAGAATTGAGGTAATGGGAGCCATTTGTTTAGGAGAGCTCAACTAAGAGCCCTGGTAGTGTAGCTACTTCAGGAAAGGTTTCAAGCCTCAGAAACCCATAGGAGCAAGTCCCTTCTGCTTTATAGGGTCGCTAAGAGTCAGAATTGACTCTTTTCTGGCTAGTTTGGTTTTCAGGGTTGTTTTCGTTTTGTGTTGTTTTTGCGGTAAACTAGAATGTCAGCATAGCAGGCGAAAATTGAGTGGGTGCACAACTGACTGGAATTCGTTCTAGAAAGTCCTCTAGTCTTCTAGCACACACAAAGCATCCTCATCCTTACTCTCCCCAGTCTGCTTACTCAGTACCTATCACATTGATCACCTTCTAGTTCATGAAACATGCCAAACACGCTAGCTGCCTGCTCAGGAATCATTTTTCTCTGACGTCAATTACTGGGAATGCCCTAATTACCTCCAGGGCTAATATTGGAATACTTTCTCAAGGATCATTTTTTAATAAAACAATAAAAAATTAACCTCCTGGCACTACCAATTCAATCTTCCAAGATTTGTTTTTAAACTAGCACTTGGTTGTGCTGAATTTCTTAAGTGTTAGGTTTTGGGTTTTTTCTTTTAAATATCATATATTTCACTCTTTTTAGAAGATCAGATATGAAGGTAAAGAAGGACTTCATTAAAAAAAAAGAAGAAGAACATCATTGTGTTACTTTTGTTATCCCTAACGCTTGAAACATGCCTGGTACTCATGAGGCACTCAATAAATAGGCAAAGGTGAGAGAGATGGATAAAAAATATGCCAATATTTTCAGTTAAACCACTTCAGAGTGTATGGTGGTATTTACTTACCCGGAGTAATTCATTTTGGGGATGGAGACTGGGTAAGAAAATTTGGTTTAAAAATCCTGGCTGTATATGTTGTTGGTGAAACAGTATAGTATTTTGTACGCAGAAATATGAAGAGAAATTTGTGATTGCGATAAAGACCTTCAGGCCATCTTCCTGGAGTCCATTTTTGAAGCAATGGGAGTAGAAAAAATTATTATGACATTTATAATGTACACTTTTATTGTAAATATTTAAGGTTCTAAATAAGCAAATTTACTTATACGTGTATGATCTTTGTATTTTTCAGTTGGGTTAACAATTTTGGCCATGAAGGTCTTGGACTCTTATTGGATGAACTGGAAAAGCTTCTGGACAAGAAACAGTAAGAATAAACACACACACAAATACTCTAAAGGATACGTTCTGCACACAAAATAATCCTTATTTTTTAACCTTCTATTTAGACAAGAGCACATTGACAAGAAGAACCAGTATAAACTTATCCAATGCCTCAAAGCATTTATGAATAATAAGGTAAGTAGTATCTATTTCTGTCTCTTTTATAAAAAGTAATATTTGCTTGACAGCACGAAAACCTAAAACAGGCAAACTAGTTCATGCTTATTTGGTTTACAAAAGCATCTCTTTTTATGATGAAAATCATTATATATTTCATTTAAATCTTCCTTAATATATATTTTACTTCACAGAATACCTCTTGATAACATTTACAATCAAACAATCATATTACTCTTGTTCCCAAATTAGGTTCCACCTTTTTTCTATGGTCATAAGGAAATAAAAGTTCATATGTTGAGTACTATTTCCTTATATAGAATTGCTATTTTAGTGCAAAGGAAAATCCTAAATTATCATTTGACTTGTCTTTTAAGAACATTGTAAGGTTAAGATTTCTCTGAGTCCAGGTAATGACACCGGGTTTCTCTAGAAGGTATTGGTTTTGTTTTTGTGTGTGTGTGTGTGTTGGGGGGCGGGGTTGTTTTGTTTGTTTTATCATCTTTATACAATATATGTTTATCAACAGCTTTACTTGAGGGGCTCTATAAATCTTAGATGAATGTATTTTCTTCTAAAAGTAGTCTATGTTCTATGAATTCATAGAAAATTTTCCCTGCAAAATAATTTTGTTACTATCTTCAAAATGATTTGTTCTATGTATCACAAATACCTTTGACTAATTCATTTAATTCGCTGAATTCCCTTCGCATCGTGATTTAAAATTCTTCATAGAAATATAAAACTAACCATAAGCTTGCTAATAGTGTTATATGGCTATTCATAATCAATGCAAAATATTAACTATTTAAAGCTCATGTTTTTCACATATAATGTACCTATTGATAAGATATTCATAGACATATAATGCTTACAAAACATATAGGTAGCTGTACAGTTTACAAAAAACATATGATTTAGATAAAAATTGTAACTATAAGTAGACTTTTTAAAGTATATCTTATACATTAGATCATTATAAAGAAGTACAATGGGTGCTTTCCATTTAACATGACACTTTCATAAAATATCCTATTTGTTTCTTTCAGAAAGATGCAAATCAATACTGTAATTTTTCTATTCCTGTAATCTAGTCTTTGGATACAAATTTATGGAGACTCTGATACCAAGCAAGAAAGCACTTAATCTGCATAGGTTCTCCCAAGATCATGATGGCTCTACTTCTTCAACTGAAGATTGAGCTTTTTCTTCAAAGCTAATTCTTTAACTTCAGCTTAAGTAGGAAAAAGAAAACACAATATTATAAATTAGGAGGTGTGAGTTCTAGTTCATGCTTTGCCACTAATGAGCTGAATTACCTTTGGAAAATCCCTTGACACCTCTGTCTATAAAATTAGCAATGAAATTAGCTCTTCCGTGAAATTAGCAATGCAAACCCAAGTTTTAAATTCTCCATGATTTTTGTTTTTAACTGTCTTAGCTTTCCATGAAACTTAGTGCCTGTAATCAGAATCGTCACTCATGTTAATGATATTTATTATGGGTGCTCTTTTCCCATTGGATATAAACTAATATTTTATCACATACTTTGGTTTATCTTGGAAGTTTGGCAGTTTTGAGGCAGGAGGATGATTCACCTTATAATGTTTTAGAGTATGGTTAAATTTTTATTTGATGGTGGTAATGTTGTTCACATAAGTTCTTAGAATATGAATAAATGGATCTGTTAAATTATAAGCATTTAAAATTATGGGCATAAAGCACACATTCAAAATTAAAATCACACATTTACTCGAGAATAAACTGTCCAGATCAAATAATAAAACTTTTATCTGAAATGACATAAACATTAATTTGTGCACCTACAGGGGTCCTCAAACTTTTTAAACAGGGACCAGTTCACTGTCCCTCAGACCCGTTGGAGGGCTGGACTATAGTTTGAAAAAAACTATATACAAATTCCTATGCACACTGCACAGATCTTATTTTGAAGTGAAAAAAACAAACGGGGCAAAAAACACCCAGCGGGCGGGATAAATGTCCTCGGCGGGCCGCATGTGGCGCATGGGCCATAGTTTGAGGATGCCTGCAAATTGCCTACTTCAAGAATTATTTTTCCTTTTCCAGTATATGTAAAATTAGGATAATAAAAATCAACCCATTTTTGCAAAATGTCCAATGCTATAATAATTGCTCTGATGTTTAGATTGGTGTTTGTTTGGTTGCATTTCTAATATCTTCCATTTTACCTTTAGTATATCCCTCCTGAAAAAAACAAACTCATCGCCACCCTGTCACTTAAGAATTTTTGCACCCTATAGGGTGGGGTAGAATCTGTGAATCTTTACTGGAGCGGATCGACATCATATCTGTCACCCCAAAGTATATCCCATAATGCCACCAGGGTCTGTCAGGGGAGCCTCTAAAATTTGTGGAAAAAATTGATTACCTTTTTATTTTATTTCCTTATCATATTGTGAAGCCTCTATGTAATTTTCCCTTAGTGACTTCTTCTGCTCCTTTCACTCTTGTGTCTTCTATTTTCTTTTTCTTTCCCCCCATTATTTCTTTATTTAGTATTACCTCTGATAATCATGTTTAAAAGGTTTACATATTTTTTAAAGTTTTTAGGTCTCTATAAGAAATAAGGAAATGGAAAAAAAAGAAATAAGGAAATGTTAATATATTTGTTTATTATCTTAAGGTGTGGCCTGAAATGTTCATTGTGTCCTTATGAAATCTATGATTTTATCATTAAACTTTAAACAAGAGCAAAAATGTGCAATAAGTACAATAAGGAAATGTTAATATATTTGGTTATTATCTAAGGTGTGGCCTGAAATGCTCATTGTGTCCCTATGAAATCTATGATTGTATCATTAAACTTTAAACAAGAGCAAAAATTTACAATAAGTATAGACGTATTTTGTGGGGCAGGTCTCATAGAAGACATTATATCCTCTGTGTAGTGAAAACCCAAATTTGTACTTCTTATTAGCATGTTTTTTAAAATCACTTTATTAGGGGCTCATACAACTCTTATCACAATCCATACATACATCAATTGTGTAAAGCGCATTTGTACATTCATTGCCCTCATCATTCT